TATATATATATATATATATATATATATATAAGGATATATACTGTGTATATAGGATGAAAAGGTTTATCTTTTTATTGTATTTTTGCTGCTTGTCTTCTTCTTGGTGTATTCTCTCCACTGCGCTGCGCTTTCAATTGTAATTTTATATTTGTATTCTCTTCGGTTTGTCTTTTCTCTTCTGTCTTTCGTTGCTAGCTGTCGTCTTGTTTTTTTTTTCTTTTCTTTGTCTCCACCAATGTTTTTCTCTCTTCGTTGTACTGGCGCTTTCCCCTCATGTTAAACACAAAACCCTGACTTTGGCATTTTTCTATAAAAATAAAACAATATATTTTATCATATTCGCATTTATTTAAAAATACAATAGTATATTTTATGATATTTTGCATGTATAGGGTCTGCAGTGAAAGCCGCAAAATCGTTTTATAAAAGTAGTTTAGAGGTGTATATGGTAATGCTGCTCTTTTCATTGCCTTTATTATTATCGTTGTTTTTATTCTCACTTCTTTGTGAGTCTTCACTTAAGAGGGTTTAGAGTTTACAGTATACGGTCAATGTTTTAAGGCCTTTTATCGTTTACACTTTAGATTTTTTGGTGTATGTTTTATTGTGTATCTTTTAGGGTTTAGGGTTTATGTATCAGGATATAGGGTTTATTTCTAGGGTTTACGGTTTAGGGTTTAGGGTTTAGGGTTTGTGTGTGCAGTATCTAGCAAACTTTGAAACTCACATGCGCAAACAAATGCGGGATATTCTAGAAGTAGCAAAAGGCACTTCAGAAAACTGGGAGGTTGAGAAACCGAGGTAAGAAACAGAAATTCAGGTGTATCTTCATGTATTTTATTTACAAAATAATAATTAAAAACATAATTAATAATATTTTTAATTATTATTATTTATAATAATAAAAATAATTCTGTTGTTGTGGGTGTTACAGAGAGGAATGGCTGCGTGATTACTGCAGCCAAGTCTGCTTGGTAGCGAGCCAGATCATGTGGACAGAAGAAGTTGCACGTTGCTTTGAAGAGCTTGAAGGGGGTTCAGAGAACGCAATGAAAGATTATAAAAAAGTTTATGATGATAGAATTGATAAACTTATTCGACAAGTTCAACAAGACCTAGATAGAAATCTACGCATCAAAATCATCACTCTCATCACCATCGATGTACACCTCAGAGATGTTGTAGAAAGCTTCATCACCAAAAAAATCACAGAAGGTTAGAAATACCAGCATCCCAGCAGAGGCAAAGAAGCAGCAGCAGCAGCAGCAGCAGAAGCAGCAGCAGCAGCAACAGCAGCAGCATGCTGCATCTTTTGCATTTGCCGTTTCTGTTGCTTCTGTTGTTTCTTCTACATTTGTATCTGATTCTGCATGTGTTGTTTCCGCTGCTACTGCTCTTTCATTGGTTACTGGTGCTTGTATTGAGTGTTTCTGGTGTTTTATTTTTTGCTTACGGTGTTGTTTTTTTTTTTCTTTTTTGCTGCAGCGTCTTCATTTCAATGGCAATCTCAACTGCGTTTCTATTGGCTACAGAAGCCAGGAGAACCTAAGAAAGATTGTGTTATAAAGATATGCGATTGGACGACAACATATATGCATGAGTTTGTAGGAAACTGCGGGAGGCTTGTGATTACCCCTCTAACAGATCGTTGTTATATTACACTAACACAAGCTCTTAACCTGACGATGGGGGGGGCCCCAGCAGGCCCTGCTGGTACAGGGAAAACAGAAACAACAAAAGATTTAAGTAGAGCAATTGGTCTTCCTGTATTTGTATTTAATTGTTCAGATCAGATGAATTATTTATCTATGGCACAGATATTTATGGGGCTTGCTCAATCAGGTGCATGGGGGTGTTTTGATGAGTTTAATCGTATTTCTATTGAAGTTCTTTCTGTTGTTTCTACACAAGTTAAATGTATATTAGATGCTATCAAAGATAATAAAAAAAAATTTCAATTCATGGATGATGAAATTAATCTTATTCGTACTTGTGGGCTCTTCATCACCATGAACCCAGGCTATGCAGGCAGAACTGAACTGCCCGAAAACCTTAAGGCGTTATTCAGGTACGTATATATATATATA